TTCGAAGTAGTGAACAAATTAAATGAATTTAACTCCTTGTCTTACATTTACGAATCTGACTTGTGATGGAGATTTCTGGCAATTATTTGTTAAATATGAATGTTATTCCTTTAAGTTTTTTAAATCTGATGTTTTTAATAATCTTTAACTTTAAAAAGAAGATTATATAACATATGGGAATTACTCATTTAGTTTCTATGTATTCCATTTTTAGTGAGGAATATTTATTTATTTACTGATTTTAAACCGACTGTTGGTTTATTTATCATAACTAAGCTGAATAAATATGAGTCTGTCTTCCTTGTCTCAAACTTTTTACAGGACTTTGACAAAGAAATTTCCCTCTCCGGAATTCTATTTTCTTGAACATTTCCGTAAACATTCGGAGTACATCGACAAATTTAAATCAGAATAATATTCTGTTCTCTTATCATCAATATTTAAGCATTCAAATAACACGATAAATATAAATTTTGATTTTTCCTAAGAAATTATTACAGTTCAAAAAGTTCTAAGCATTGTAACTGTGGAAAAACTGGAATGAAAACAATCGCTCAGTATAATTAAATATATTTAATGTAACCCAAGGCTAACATATAGAAGCGCGACACTAATTTTTAACTAGGTTTTAAAATTCCTTTTTGTTGTTGTAATATATTGAATAAATTGAATGTTACAAGGATTTTTAGAATACAAAGAAATTGAACTAACATTTTTTCATGGTAAATTTTATCTTTCTAATTTCGGTTTTATTAATTAACTTGATATTGTAGAATTTTTGAAGTTTATATTCAGCTCTTAACGTACTAAGAATATTGACGTACTATTTTCTACTTGCTAAGATTATTAAATAAACAATAAAATTTCTATTCGTCTTCAATTTCTTACAAACAATGCAGACAATGTTTTAGATGGAGGATATAATTCGAAACGAGAGACGACGCATATTGCGTCGCTTAATTGAAAAAATCCTAAAAATCAATATTTTTTTTTTCGATGATCTATAACGTAATTGTAATCCGAGTCTTATCATCTGATATTGATAAAAGATTTTTCATTCGACAAAAAAATCAAGATCACATGGATCTCTTTTAAGAGAACTGTATATTATTTATGTACAAATATCGATGCATCTTTAACAAATTATTAATGTACTTAGGTCGAGAATTAATTAATTTAGAAGTTATGATTTTTGTCTCGAAAAAAACGCCCGTATGAAAAACGGCGAATCTAAAAGCGCGAACGGAGATCTGTCAAAACGCGGCGGTTACGTTCGTCAAAGCAAATCCGCGTGCTACGCGTAAATGAATCAGAAGGGTAAACTAATTGAATTACGTCTCCCCCTGGAGCGAGCCCGGGATCCGCTCACCCTGCCGAAGAAAATCGTTCTCTCGTACGTAAATCTATTAAACACTTCTTTCTCACGAATATGCATAGGCGCATGCTAATCGCTTCTGAATCGAACAGCAGGCCTCGGTCCGTCCGTTTGCCGATGCTACGAACAACTGTCAATAGGGCGTCGAGTCGCACAAAGAGCTGCACGCCGCGTTCGAAAAAGAAGAGTTCGCCTTTTCAACGTTCGCGGACGGGAATGTTCCTCGGCTCGGATATCGGCTTACGTTGTTTGACAAATACAGAGGCCCCCGACCGAAAGAGAGGAATAAAAAGTTTCGCTTTCCGTTCATCAGAACTCGCACTTCATTCGCGCGCGAACAATGCTCGATGAATGACGGCTAAAATGAAAGTTTAACTCGATTTTTTTCTGGTTCGATTTACAGGAAGCACAAAAATCGGGAGCCACTTCCGACTTTTTTTGTTCGAACGCTACGGGAAAACTAATTTTTATTCGGGGAAAATGTGATCTATCTCTTTGACAATGCTGTAGTTGATTCAGTTAATGAAACTATTTAATTTGTCGTTTAATGATTCGTAGAATTAAATCGAATACTGTGATGACGATGTAATGAAGTGGATTACCGAATGATATTGGTTGTTGTTTCAAACTTATGCGTGAACTTTTGTTAACCCATAGGTTCAATTTCAATTTGACACACAATATTTTATCTGCATAGTAATCATATTTATTATAATTACCTTTCTATGACTGTTTAGCATTTCTTTAACATTATCCGACAATTTTTACATACGTTTGTTCACACTGTATCATACTTGAGTTATTGTATTTAGTTTCTCATTTTAATCATTATTACCAACATCATTGAATCGTTATCACACATTTTTATGCTGCTATAAGTTTACATTTTTGAGATTGAATTTATGACAATTTTTGCACTTCGCACACAATAATGAATAATAATAGAGTTCGATACATTTAGTTCCGCCACTAATGAATCATTCTACTGTGTTCTCAATAGTTTTCGATCGTCTTCCGTATACATTCGTTTCCACTTTACACGTGCAAGATCAGCGCACACATTCGCAATGTTGACGATTACTCACGTCGAATGTATAATGACTTTCTTTCATAGATCTTACCGTCTAGAAATATTTATGAAATCATGCGAATGGTTCGATCTTGTGGATCAAAGTAAACAGTGAAAAGTCGAAAAATTGTTCTGCATATATTACACTGAGATATCGCGTTAATTTCAGTTCACAATCTTTGTCCTTGATTCGATTAACGACTATACGTCACGGGATACGGTAATTATAGCTTCCGATCATTGCTCATCCATTCGATGGAACAGTTAAAATAACACACGATTGTCCCTCGTCATGGAAAAGTCGAACAATTTTCTATTGGCAGCGTAATATTGACAAGCGTGTAAATTGTAATTATCAACAGATCGTTTCGCGTTTGGGATGTGAACAGATTTTTGATCGAGGAATTCCTTTCTTATCAAAGATTTAATAAATATTGTTTAAATTATATAATGAGGGAAATATGGGAATTTTTATTTATAGCTGTTCATTGTTAAAAAATCATTGGCTTCGATCATCGGATTGCGAAACTTAGGTCCGTTTTAACACAGGGTTACAGTCCAAATTATAATTTAATGATATAATTTAATAATTATAATTGTCTAGCAGTCAGTCCAATATCAATTATGCTACTTTCAGGAAATGTGAAGAGTTCCTGAGGTCATTCGAAGTAACTTTTTCCTTAGCGCAAATACAATCCGCGGCTTCGTTTACGAGTTATCAACGAAAAACCGGTGACCAATGAGAGGCGAGATCAACCGACGCGAGGCAGCCGAGCCAATAAGCGGAACTATGCTTCGTGAGCTTGTTGGCTCGGACGGTTCGTATCGGTCGAGCTCGCCTCTCATTGGTCATTATTTTTCGTTAATAACTCGTAAACGAAGCCGCGGATTGCATATGCGCCAAGAAAAAAGTTACTTCGATTGACCTCAGGAACCCCTCATTTCTTGGAAGTACCATAATTTTGAGACACCCTGTAGATTTTAATGGATCTATGACTGTCACGAAATCATCAAAAATATCTATTTTTATGTATTTTATTTCATTTTATATACAATACATACAAGAAATAAATAAATGTATTTCATTTTATTTTAGATGCAGGGAATAAGTGTATCATATTTCATTATAGGTTTCAAGAATAAATGATTAGGATAGTGGAGCCGGTTACAAACTAATTGCTGTGCCTTTGATTTGTTTTCGGGCGTAATTAATTTTATGCTTATCGAATAAGACATACTAAATTTAAAAGAAAAAATAAAAAGTCATTATTGCATTGTACAAATACAATAAATAGATCTGTTACATCTTGTACGAAAGACATATTATTCCACTTTATTGTAAACACGTTATCGTAAAGGTTCGTTTTCCCTCTGCTTTCAGGAATTGTGGTGAACGGTTTCGTGAATGTTGTCATTACAACGATCGAGAGGAGGTTCGGCTTGAGATCGTCGCAAACTGGGCTTATTGCTGGAGGGTACGACATAGCCAGCTTCCTTCTTCTTGTTCCAGTGAGCTACCTAGGAGGACGCTCAAAAGCTTCGAAGCCACGGTAAATACTCGCTCTTGGAAACAATTCACGCGGATTATTAATACGTTCCATGTCAGATATCACAATTTGTTCTCATGAATATTAAATTAAACGAGTGACATCTGTCCACGCTCTCTCTGATTAACATTTTATTCTTTTGAAATGAGTTTTCTCGGGTCGGTCCTGTATTAAACCCTCGAGTGCACGAAGAAAAAAATACAATCTCGCAAATAAACAGATCTAACATAAATATTGAGATATGCAAGGAAATTCATATATACGTCATTGCCGCTGTGAATGGACTTTCGCAACTTTGGACTTTGGTATATATACGTATATATATATATATATACATATACGTCGTTGCCAAAGTCCATTCACAGCGGCAATGACGTATATATGAATTTCCTTGCATATCTCAATATTTATGTTAGATCTGTTTATTTGCGAGATTGTATTATATATCAAATATATATATATATGACATAAACGCTCAAGGGGTTAAAAACGCGAAATACGAAAAGTTTCTTGAATTGAAGGTGCATTGAAACAAATGACTCCAGTAACAAATAATTCGTTCAGCACGTTTTCTCGTCGCATAGCGTTGATTTAGAGACTGTAGTCGTTCATGCAAATATTCTCTTCGGAGTAATTTCATTCCACAATTTCACAGAATTATCAGGTGGTTCGAAATAATTTGTTTCTAATTGCTCCTTTTATA